AAAGTAGCTATTACAGATGACCTAAATGAAAACGAAATAAACACAAAACAAACACGGAGCCTGCAGCAAGTTCCAGCGAACGAGGGAAACACTTCGGGTCAGCTGCGGCTTGTGATAAAGTAAATAAATAATAACAACATATAAGCAAATACGACGCGCTAAGTACGATCAGTAAGGGGTGGCGTTAAAATTCTTACGAGAGCAGTACGCGGCGGAAGAAGAGTACGTCATTTACAAACGACAAACGATCGCATAATTGTTGGACTACACTACACCCTTCCTCTCTCAGCCCAGAAAGGCCGGAGCCCTACCCAAAAAGGTGCACCCTAACCTAAAAAAGATGTTATTCAATTGAATAACATCCCCTTCAAATCAAACTCGCCCCCCCCCCCTCGAACCAAACTCCAACACCCAAGCCGAGGGAAAGGGATGCAATACGAAAAAAATACGCAGCGACATCGGGCTAACTTCGTCTCTAACTTTTAACGTCTAACTTCGCCACTAAGTGCAGGTCGTCTCTCCGTGGGAAAGAAGTACCGCATGAGTCTTACCTCGGCAGCAGGGCCTATTTTAACATGTTAACTGGGGGGGCAAATGCCCCCGCACTCAACGGAATTGCCCCCCCAGTCGTCGAGATTTGCCCACTATAAAAATGGGCATAAAGGAACAGGGTGACAAACATATACTGTGATTGTTTTGCAATGGATGTCAAATGAGTCAGTCTGCAAGTAATAACCAGTGGTGGATCCAAGGGTGGGTCATATGGGTCATGACCCCCGCCCCTTGGGGCTCGGGGACACCACAGGCCTGCCAGGGGCACCAACGGCCTGTCAGGGGCACCACAGGCCTGTTGGGAGCACCATCGACCTAGCAAGAGCACCATAGGTCTGCCAGGGGCACCACAGACCTGACAGGGGTCCCACCGACCTCGCAGGGGCACCTTGGGCCTGTCAGGGGCACCACGGGCCTGTCGGGGCACCACAAGTTTGTCAGGGGCACCACAGACGTGTCAGGAGCACCATCGGCCTAGCAAGAGCACCATAGGTCTGCCAGGGGCACCACAGACCTGCCAGGGGCCCCACTGGCCTCGCAGGGGCACCACCTTGGGCCTGTCAGGGGTACCACCACAGGCCCGCCAGGGGCACCACAGGCCTGCCAGAGGCACCACAGGCCTAGCAAGGGTACCACGGACCTGTCAGCGACACCTCAGGCTTGTCAGGGCCAAGGGACACCACAGTCCTTTCAGGGGCACCACAGGCCTGTCAGGGGCACCACAGGCCTGTCAGGGGCACCACAGGCCTGTCAGGGGCACCACAGGCCTGTCAGGGGCACCAGAGGCCTAGCAGGGACACCACATGCCTGGCAGGGGCACCACCGGCCTCGCAGGGACACCTTGGGCCTGTTAGTGGCACCACGTGCCTGTCGGGGACACTCCAGGCTTGTCAGGAGCACCACAGTCCTGTCAGGGCCCAGGGGCACCAGCGGCCTAGCAGAGGCACCACCGGCCTAGCATGGACACCACCGGCCTTGCAAGGGCATCATGGGCCTGTCAGGGGCACCACGGGCCTGTCATTGGAACTTCAGGCTTGTCAGGGGCACCACAGTTCTTTCAGATGCACCGGCGGCCTAGCACCACGGCACCATGTTTGGCCGGGATCGCGATTCGGCGTATGTCGCCTCGCATTAGCCGCGCGTTTGGCAGTCTTTTCGTGGTTTCAAACGTTCAAAACATGGGATATGATGTTGCTCCCATGCATTATGGCGGGTGTCAAGGTCACCGGAAGGTCAGGTCAGGTCATTTGCCTTTGATGACCTCGGTTCACATTCCGAGTTTTATATGTTTCTACTTAAGCTAGTTTTTGGAGCTGAATTCAAATTTAGCAACCATTTGACCGTTTACACAGGGTGTCTCAAAAGTTCGTTGACAGGTACCAGCCAGGCTTTTTTTTGTCAATAATTCGGAATCAACAAGAAATTAATAGTCAAATTTTGCATGGGCATTGGTGACAACCTTCCTCAAGCAGTTTCATTGTTTTCAAGCGCATTCGACCCTTCATGAGCTCACAAATAGGGTTCACCTTTGACCATGGATCAGACATGAAAGTGGAGGTCGCAAAATCGGGTCGGCTGAGAAGCAGACAGCAGACTCGTGCTCCGAAGAGCACCTGAATATGCAGTCCTAATTATTGAAAACTGACTAGAAGCTAACAGACAAAGGTTACCCAGTTTCAAAAATTGCAGGTCATCATAAAATAAAGACAAAGACAAGTGACCCTCCAAAAGTGTCAATTAATGTTAAGTTTTATCTTACGAAGTTCCAAGAGGCAGATCTGAAGCTAATAGCTTTCTTTTACACACAAAATCCGGACAAAACCGCACGATGGACATGTTTTGGTCGTTCACAAAGCAGAACCTCTCCTGAGGAAAACACTCCGGAACCTAGCGAAGGTCTTGGCATGGGAAATGACGAGCGTTTGGGATTTGCAAAATTTGCACAATGTGTCTAAGAAACAGATGACCGACACATTTTGCTACGATATGCTGCGAAAAAATTGCCGCTGGCACCTCCCATTTGTTCAAGAATGGGGTTGTTTTGAAAAGGAAAATGGTACTTGGGAGGTCGGCGCCAGTCATTCATGAAGGAGTTGGTGCCAGAGAAGACCTACGAAATACTCACGGATGGTGTCGATGCAAGCTGTCGGCTTTAAGGGAGAAGCGGATGTTGCCAGGAAGCTCGTCAAACCTAACTCCGACGCAGAAACTGCAGGGGATTCACCTGCAAGAGCTTGAAAGTTGAAAGCTGGTAACCTTTTATCAGCCTCCGGCAGCTGACGGAGCGACGAAAATCGGTATGGGCAAATATTTTTGGAGATACAGCAAAGGGTTTGGTTTCTAACCTTCCGAATCAGTTGTCAAAGCATGCATATTTGTCTAGTGTACACACACACACCAAAACCTTAGATTTTTGGCCGGTTCTTATATGCTTTATTGGCATGGGAAATGTGTCAAGGAACTTTTGAGACACCCTGTAGTTTTGGTGCCTTCGTAACATGTTACGGAGCTGTCAGAGGCGGTTGTCACCAGCTACGAATACCCGGCAAAACCCTTACTGGTTGACCTGACCTGACCTGACCTGACCCGACCTGGCCTAAATGCATGAAGACATCATCTATGATCATAACTAAGATGATATTCGTGATCAGCACCCCGAAAAAACCATAGCAGCCACCCTTTACTATGCTCTAACTCCCGATTTTCCCGACTTTTGGGTCATTGACCTGACCTGGAAGGTCAACCGATGACCTAGGACCTTTAAATTGGGTATCATCGGCTTCCTTTCATCACGGGCAACACGGTCGTTTTTTCCGCGAAGCTCTAACTCGATCAGGGGCGAAACAGCAAGGGGGAGGGTCCAACGGACCCCCCCCCCCCATATATACGTTCGCAGCTGGAAAACACCAATACGGGCGATGGTTAATGGAATTATTAAAGACAATTTTCCAGGTTGCCCCCCCAGTCAAATTCCCTTAAAATAGGCTCTGCTCGGCAGACGCGGTGGCCGAGCCGAAAATGGCCGCGACCACGACCCAGTCTCTCGGACAGAGGGCCGGAAGGGACTCTCCGCCACTCAGCCCTCGCTCACAGTGAAGCCAAGGTCGCGAAGTGCATGCAGAGAGTTGACTCTTGTCGACACACCATGCTGCTGCTCCTTGAAGTACACTTGGCCGCCGCGAGAGTAGACGGTATACACCTTCTTCTCTCGCTCAGCCGCCAGCAAAGATCGGAAGATCTGGCTTCTCTGTTTCGTGAGCGACTCGTTCACGTATAGGTCGCGACCGCGTATGTAGTTCGAGGCGTCGGGACATTATGCGATCGCGTAGACTGCCCAGCCCGGAGCGCACGAATCTCACAATCACTCGGTTGTTAGAACCCGGTAAGCGATGCGCGCGATCGATGTCACTCTCGGCAAGTCCTAGTCCGGGCATACACCTGTTCAGGGTGTTCACCACTAGCAGCGCGTTGACGTCTTCTTGTTCCCACGCGACACTCCCGCCGTCTCGGCGACCACTCGTAGACCCCGCCCGCGAACCGACCTGGCGGTCGGCTGACTGCGACGTCACAGTGTCTCGATCGCGGCCGGGGTCAGCGCACAGTGTGGCCAAACGCCAGATTAGCGCGACTTTAATCAAAAAACGAATTTTGGAATTTTGACTCTTTATAACTATCAGTCGATAGGAAATTGTCCAAAGTATGTCAATATCACAATACTTTGGTTCAATGTCTTCCTTTCGGTGTCCAAAAAGCTAGCTAAAGTGGACATACGCAATGCCGGTCCCGGCTGTGCTGAAATAGTCGAAAACCCGCGTCACGTTTACAACACATTTTGGCGTAATTGTCGGAGAGTTTTGGAAATAAATGGAGTGGCATATGACTGCTGAGCCTATAGTTGATAGTATACCTGAATTCCATAGGTATCCTTGGACTAACCGATGAGTTATGCTCATTTTAAAATTACCTTTATTATTATTATTAATTATTATTATTATTATTATTATTATTATTATTATTATTATTATTATTATTATTATTATTAATATTATTGATATTGTTTTAACTATTATCATTATTATAACTATTATTATTATTATTATTGTTGTTGTTGTTGTTCTACGACGTGCGGTGGCGCACTCGATAAACCACCCTCTCATAACAGGTGAGGTGAGGGAAGGGGTGCCTGAGGGAACATATCTTAGGATGCACCGCGGTACCGGACAGACGGTAACACCACCGGACGCGTACACAGAGCCACAGAGCTTATGTTGTATTTTAGGCCTAAAGGAGCATTGATATACATAAATGGTCGAACTGTCTCCAGCTCCTCCAAGTATTGCTTATATCTTTCTCTAACGAGCGTTGGCACGTTGGAACTTGGAAGTTTTGCGCCACTCCCATTTTGAATCGAATATCGAGTGGAGCAATATGTTGCTATCTCTCCTCAGGTAAAGGCACCGTGGATAAAGACGTTCTTATACTGTGGCGAGGACACCTACGTCATCCCGGGCGTGGATCATGTGACGCTGGGCGGATCGCGCCGGTTTGCCGCAACCAGTCTGGACATCGACAAGTACGAGTCGAAAGCCATCTGGGAGCGGTGCACGCGGTATGTGCCCAGCCTGCGGCGCGCCCAGGTGAGTGACGGCTGCGGCCCACCGCACCGTAGGGATATTCCTGATCTTGCCTGTCTCAACCCTCGCCCGATGAGGGGGAGGGTTGATGCAATCCCCCCTAAGGTTTCTCGCAAATAACGTAAAAACGGCGGCGGCGCCGCGCCAAATTTGGCATACCCTCTGCCCTCTGGGGCAACCTTTTCGCACCTATCCTGAAAATTTCAAGTCCCAGTCTTTTCAGGTCAGGTCACCAGGTCACAAAACCGGTACAAGGTCAGGGGAAAATTGGACTAGTTTAGTGGCAAATGAATGACAGAGTTAGTCGTTGATAGCGTGGGTGCTATGACACGTAGCGCTACCAAATCTCAGTCACAACTTGGGGAATCCATTTGACACATGACCTGGGAGTTTTAGATTCCAGTGACCTGAGGTCAGGTCACAAGGTCACAAAAACCGGTACATTGCCAAAATGGCACTGAAAAGGCACTATTTTGTTCATGGAAACTTAAGTTCTTTATAGATTTGATTCAAACTTGCAGGATATGCTGATGTCACCGAGTGCCATCATATGCACCCCAGTTTTTCATATTCAGTTGACCTGAGGTCATCTAGAGGTCATGACAATTTTTAAGGAAATTTGCCCGAATGTGTAATGATAAGCTATTTGTGCTTTCTTTTAACGTTTTTGTGTTTTACTACCTTGATTTACATCTACTTGGTGTTTGCCAGCTGCAAGAACGCTTGGGTCGGGTCAACTGAGGTCAACTAAGGTCAAACTACGTTTTTGCTAATACCTTGCTACCCAATGAGGCTAGAGCTTCAAAAACGGTGTCCTTTTGTTCCTTGTGATCAGGCGGTTAGAATGATATGCAATATGATGTATTTTGACTAAGTTAAACTTAACTAATTAGTTTAAGTTCACTTAATTTTTAAGAAAATGTTAAGTTCAGATTCAGATTCAGATTCAGATTCAGTGTATTTATCATATTCCTCCATACATTCGAGGCTTTTCACATGACACGTCAGTTCAATGGTAAAGGTAAGAAACAGTAAAAAAAAAACGGGGTTATGCTATGCTAAAAACCACATATGCTAGAAGATCACATATCGAGCAGCACTCGTTCCAATGCTCGCTTAAAACCGCCCATTGACACAGCATCTCGCACCTCGTTTGGTAGGTCATTGTACTTCCTAACTCCTCCGTTGAAAATCCTCCTCTCTCCCGCACATGTTCTGGCCCTCACAGTCACCAGCCTATGAGCATACCTAGTTCGATGCTCATGATCGGCAGCAGAAAACAGACTCAGTTCGCGAGGTTCACCAGTGACAAGTATGCGGCGTATCAGACACATCTGGTGATACGTGACAAGTTGCTGTGCGGTCATTAGTCCGAGACGACGTACCTCTTGACTAATGTGATCATATTTGCTTTTGCGGCTAATGACTCTGGCACAAAAATTGATCAGTTTTTGTATGCGGTGGAGTTGTGTGGCTCCGCACGTACCATAAATCGATATGCAGTACCTGATCATTGACAGAACTAATGCGACAACAATTTGTTTCATCAGTGAGACGGGAATGCCGTGGCTCAGGTGGACAAGTGCAATCAAAGTGCCGGTACATTTCCTCACAACGTGGTCGATATGGTCGCTAAACGTAAGATATCTATCCATGTACACTCGGACTCCTAGGTTTTTAACCTCGCGGCGCTCGCTGACAACATCGTTTCCTACTCGGACAGACACAGTGGGGAGGTCTCTCAGCATCGCCCTGGTACCAAACACGATTACTTGCGTTTTCGATGAATTCAATTTCAGTGAATTATGGGCGAACCAGTCGAAGACTACGGCGAGCTCGCTTTCTAAACACGTAATCATATCATTAATATTGTTTGTGGCCGGATATCAGTGAATAGGTCAAAAACGCCCCCCTTAAGCGCGAAACCTTCTGACACTCAACCCAACACAGATTACTTAAACCTTTGGGCACCATCATGTAGCTCATTCTTTGTACTACGCTTTGAGACCAAGAAAAGACACCTGCGTGTGGTATTTAACCCCCCCAAAAAGGTTTCCGCATACCCTTACAAAAGGGCGTTTTGCCCCATACCCTGGGTAATACGCCCACACCCATGTGCAAAGCGCCCCCACCCCATCCATCAACAGAAAATGATGAACATGGCAGAACTTGACGTCATTCTGACGTCATTTGTGGTCAACCTATCATAGCCTTTGGAATAAAATTTTGTTGCAATGTGTACAATGGATGCCCGGAGGAGTCCTGAAAGTTTGGTGACGATATCTGCAGTCGTTTAGGATCTATCAGCAAAAAAGGACAGGGAGAGGCCTTTTCGGCCCCGACCTACAGGGCGCTACCCTGCACTCTCACCACCGTGCAAAACGCCCCCCTTTCAGAAAACTGGGGGCGTCTTGCCCCATGCATCGAGTAGGCGTCTTGCCCCATCCACTCCATTTCCGGTCAACAAAATATTGACAAAAAACGCGCCACTAACGCCGCAGCATAATACATTCAACAGAATGACAATAAAACGCAGTTTTGAGTGATGTGCACAATAGCAAGTTTTGTGATATAAAGAGGGCATCAAAATGTTAGGAATCTTCTGTAAAAACAACAAAAACAACACCCAAAACCAATATCAGCACCTACCCACGCTGCTCCTCAAGACGCAGACCCGGAAATAGAGACCTACGTAAACAAGCAGCTGACTGTTCTGAAAGACAGGATAAAACACCTATCCGTCGTCGATAAGAAATACGATTTTTTTAGGGGAGGCGTTTAACCCAGGGGTGCGTTTTCCCCACAGTTACCCTAATCTGAGTATCGTCCGCGAATAAGACGAGCTTAGTCTTCTCAGAGTACAAATTGAGCTCGTTGCTAAAAATGGAGTACAGTAAACATGATAACGAACCGCCTTGGTATACACCGGTGGTATTTGGTAGCGATCGCGACATAATCTTGGTACCATCCTTCGTCACAATTTTTACCTGCTGTTTGTGATTTTGAAGGTAGTCAGCAAACCAGTGGTTATCAACGCCATACATCAACTTGTTATCAACTTGTCCAGAAGTTTGGGGTGAGAGATCACATCGAAGCACTTTGAGCAGTCTAGTAACACAAGTATCGTGATTTTTCCCTCGTCCATGGCTTTGTATATAGAATCAGTCACAACTGTGAGCGCGGTTTCGGTTGAGTGGTTTCTCCTATAGCCATGCTGAGCTGACGAATACAAAGTGTTCTCGATGAAGTATGAATTTAGCTGATTGTGTACGGTCCGTTCTATGATCTTAGAGATGGCAGGTAACGTCGTCACCGGTCGCCAGTTAGCCGGGTCGGTAGTAGTCCCTCCATTCGGTAGCGGCACTACGATACCGTGCTTCCACGCGTCAGGCACGACACCGGATATGAGACTCGAGTTGATGATGTCACAAAGTACATGCTGAAGACCGAAAAAGAACCTCTGGAACATAGCGATGCTAAATCCGGTGCTATCAATAGATGACGATTTCTTCATGCTGGCTACAGTAATGCACAGATCGTTCTCGGAAATTGGGCTAACTCTAAACCCACATGACAGTACGCGCGGTAAGCGAGTGGGTGGCGGGTTGGTCGGCGCGATCACAGAGGCGGCGGTACGGGGTCCCACATTAACAAAATAGTCATTGATGGCATCTGGTGTCACACTTGGCACGGTGTTCGCCGCCTTCTTGCTACCTATTATCGGCGCCAGCACTCGGTACACTCGGCTGGGTCCGGCTTCGATAAGCCGCTGTTGCAGATGCTCCCGCGAGTCACGGCGCACGGCGGCTCGGCACCGACGGTTGATTGCCTTGTAGTTGTCTCGTTCGGGCTGTCCGGCAGCAAGAGCCGCGCGCCGCTCGGCGAGCAGCGCCCGCGTCGATTCCGTTACTCTCACTATAGAGGCGGCGTGGCGCCTGACCCTCCTCAGTGGAGCAACGGTGTCCAGTAGCGTGGTGAAGATTCGGGTGAACTGGTCCCATTTGGCTGTTGGTCCGTTCGCGGCAAACACACTCCCCCAGTCGGTATCTGCCAGCGTGATGTTGAAGTCGGTCGAATCGACTCGGTTGATAAGTCGCGTCTCAGTGGTCGGCGGTTTTACCTTAGTTTTCGGGCAGTACCGCACTAGTGCTCGAGTAAAGTCATGGGGTCCTCCATAATGGCAACGGGTGACGCCGCACTTCACGACCAGCTCCGGCTGATTGGTAATGATTACGTCAATCAGTGTTCCCGCCGGTCTGTAAGTAGGACAAGTTGTGCTGCACGCGCTAAGTCCGTAGGTCCGCATGATTTCACAGAGTTTATAGCTGGGGGTGCTTGTGCTGGACGCAGTGCTAAGCAAGCACGCGTTTAAATCACCGGCGATAATCACAGGGGCTCCAGGATGAGATGCGAGCATAAACTGCAGCTGGGATTCGAGGTCGTCGAAATCCAGAGCTAACTGTGACGCAGTGTTGGTCGGGTGGCGATAGGCAGAGGCAAACAACATGCGTTTGTGTTTGTCGAGTCTAACCAACGCCCAGATTATCTCGATGTTCGACGAGTCAGTGCCTGTAGTTGGCCGATCTAGCAGTTCCACGTTGATGTCGGTACGTGCTAGCAGTGCTACACCGCCGTACCCTTTCGGGAGTCGGCTAGTTTTTGGTCGGTCACATCGGTACAATGTGTAGCCGTCGATGGTCAAAAGTCGATTCGGTATATTAGGTGACAGCCACGTTTCTGAAAGTGCTAACAGATGGAAGTAATGCACGTGCGATAGATCGTGGCGTAGGTCAATCAGCTTCGGCTTGATGGACTGTATGTTTAATTGGCCGATCATGAGCTGTCCAGGTCGATGTCCTCCCGGTCCGATCCACCGGGCACCTCCCCGGCAGCCGCGGCGACGGCTCCTCCGTCCCCGCTGTGTCAGCGGTGGGTTCGGCCGGTATCCCCTCTATCCGGGGGCGCAGCCCGCCGCCCGCCAGCAGCCAACGCGGCCGGCCGGC